TTGGATGCAGCCCAGGACACAGTTGGCCTTCTGGGCTGCAAGCGCACATTGCTGGCTCATGTCCAGCTTGTCATCCACCAGTCCCCCCAAGTCCCTCTCCACAGGGCTGCTCTCCAACTATTCATCCCCCAGCCTGTGCTGATACTAGGGATTGCCCTGACTCAGGTGCAGCACCTTGCACTTGGCCTTGTGGAACTTCATGAGGTTCACATGGGCCCACTCTTCCAGCCTGTCCAGGTCCCTCTGGATGGCATCCCTTCCCTCAAGCGACTCAACTGCACCACTCAGCTTGGTGTCATCTGCAAACCTGCTGAGGGTGCACTCAATCCCACTGTCTACATCGTGATCCCTCCTCTCCTCTCTTCCTGCAGGAATTACCTTTCCCATTTATAAGGAGCTGGCTTCTGAAACCAAGCAAATAACAAGATCCTCTGCAGTTTCTTCTCAGGGCCTCCCGCTATCAAATACGGCAGTTGAAGCACGTATTTATGAGATTTCTGGTAAGGAGGAAAGACCAATGTCTGCAAAGGGTTCACTCAGGATTTGCCAGCCGGTTGCTGTCTGTCTGCAGCTGAACTGATCCAACCCCCCGCGCACCCAGCTCCCAACAGTCTCCTTCCCCGTCCCATGGTCCTGCCCTCTCCACAACCAGCTGCTCACAACCTCATGAAATGCCCGGCTTAAGGACAGTTGACCTTGATAGAATTCCTGGAGGAGGCCACAGCTGTTCCGAGCATGAGCTGCCCTGGATGGCGTTTTTCCACTGGACTGACCTGCCAGACCCTCATCCAGCACACTCCTGGCCCCTAGAAAAAGCCACTCTTCAAGTGAAACCCAAAGACCAGCTTCCTATGTGACCCAAGAACCAGCCTGCCTTGACTCACCTAGAAACATGCCCCGTTGCAAGCGGGACCTCACAACATCTAACTGTCACACAGGATCAGCATTTCAGGCACCCAAATCCAAAGCATCCCCAGCTTACAGCAGACTGAGAAGGGGCTAGGCAAATCCAAAGCATCCCCAGCTTACAGCAGCAGACTGAGAAGGGGCTAGAACCACTTTGAAGGTGGCAAGATCCTTTCACGCCTGCCACGTGCCTTGCCAGAGGTCGGCATTTTGAGATCTGCAGTTAAATCTAACCCCCAGCACAAAGCAGAGCACAGAATAATTAACACACCGGCGCCGCACGCACAGCCTCAGGAGGACCAGAAGAGCTTCCACTTCTGCTCGGGGAGGAACGAGGACCAGCCTTGCAGCGGAGCACAGAGGAAGAGACACCAGCACGGGCAAACCACAGGAGGTGGAAATCCACACAACTTCAGGACTTACCTCCACCCACTTCCCGTTGACTTCCATGAAGAGGACGCAGAAGGGGTCAGATTTGGAAGTGACATCCCTGTCCAGAAGGTTTTGGCCGCAGACGGACAACTCGACTTTGCAGACACAGTACTGGGAGCCAACAGGCCCCGCCGGCGTGGGAGTCACGGTGTACGCCATGGACTCCAGCGGCAGCAGCTCCAGGCAGTCTGTGGGACACGAGAACGGAGAGAAACCTCAGTGCAAGCAGAAAGGCAGAAAACGTTCTGTCGGCGACGGTGGGTTGGGCCCAGACATCCAGAGCCTCATGCTCTGCGTTACACTCAATAAGTTATGAGGCTTTCCTGGCTCCAAAGCATCTGTCCTGCCCGGTCACCATCCCCACGTGGCCACCACACCAGGCAGACATCCTGAGTGGGAGCCCACCAGAGCATCTACAACCTGCCTTGGTTTTGCTCCATAAATAGGAGATTTTCAAGGAAAGGTGACATCTTCTGCTTACCCCCCAAGGAAAGGAGGGGGGGGGTCCCCCCAACCTCTTCTTCCAGCATGTTGGGTTTTTTTTGTGGGGAGGAACTATAATTCCACACCATCTTTCAGCACAAAAACTGGTCATCATCTGGCTGGTCCCAAGCCATGGACCATGGACCTAAGCTACGAGGGCCAAACTTGAGCTCTGCCCCCCAAATCGTCACAGGGAAAGGGGTGAGACCGTGAGGATGAGTGGGGTGGAGGGCAGCTCCAGCCCCGGTTCAGCCCTGTCTCCACCCAACTCACCAGGCCAGCAGAAAGCAGTGGCTCTGGCAGCAATTAAAAAGCAGCATTAGTTGGTTCACAGGAGAGCAAGGCGAATGTGACAACCGCTGCATGACCTGGTGTACGGGATGATTTACAGGGCCCTGATAAAAAACCCTTTGTTAGAAGAACAGCCTACCAAAAGTCCACTACCAAAGCTGTTTTGCAGAGATAAATGTGTTTTATACCATTATTAGTGCAAAACCCCATCCCACATGGCAGTTTTGCCTTCTGATGTGCAGTTTACTCAGCACAAACCATCAAAGGTCTTCAATAGAGAAGAGGAAAAGGGGGAAAAAAGAGAAGAAAAAGCATTTTCAGATTAAGTTATACTAATAAACCTTTGCGGCTGGGGTGGCTATTGGAGAGAGCGCTCTTTTCAGCAGCTGCTTCAATACCTTTCGCCATAGCCCTCTTTTTCAAGAGCGGCTCCTGGCTCATCCAATTTATCTGAAAATCCCAAACATCACCTTCCCCCACCTTGATAAGCCATCTGCTGCTATTTGGCATTGAAACCCCAGTTAATATTATTTATTCGTTTTGCCCGGGCACGAGTATTTACAAGCGCTTGTGGTGCTGGGAGCTGTGCTGCTGCTCCCTTTCCTTGCAGCTCAACCTCCAATGGGATGGGGATGGGGGACAGGGATGGGGTGATCCCAGCCCCTACATGGCTATGGGAGAGCGAGCTCCGGGCTGACCGCTCAGCCCCAGCTGTGATGAATACTGAGTGGAAAACAGCTCCCGCTTCCAAGGCTCTGAGCCCTCCCCTCCTACATGCCAAGATCTCTGCCTGGCACTACGTCACCCGAAACAAGCCTGATTTTAACCCCCAACAGTAAATGCAAGCTCTTCACCACAGCCTGCTGCTCAGGGCAAGAGCAGTGCAATCATTTCAGCTCCGTAGGAACCCAGAAACACCTTCAGAAGAAGAAAATCCCCATCCTTGGCTGCACGCACACGTGTACATCACTAAACCAGCACCCACATCCCTTCCCTGACCGCGGTTTCCCCTCTCCTAGACCAAGCACATCTCATGCCGTCGCTCCCCGTTCGCAGCAGCGTGACGCCAAATCAGCAGCACGTGTGGGCAATGGTCCATCTACCGCGGCTTCAAGGAGAAACACATGCAGAAGCAAAAGTCCTCCCGGCTCATCCACTGTGAAGCCCCTGTGGCCGCTGGGGCGATGGCTCCGAAACGCCCGTCCCCGCCAGAGCTGCCTCTGCTCCTCCCAAGCCCACATTGCCAGTTGCAGCTAAAACAAAGATTTTATTTATTTTTTTTTTCTTTAATGCACAGATCATGCAATTGATGTCTTAAAATAGCCGGGCCTGTTCTATTTATGCTGCTGTCTGTCTGCCGCTCCCTCCGAAAAGCAAACACAGGGCAGCTGTGCTGGCATGGACCTGGTCCTGCCGGAGCAGGGAGATCTGGGCTGGGTTTTTCCATCTCCCCTTCCCCCAAATCTCGGCACCGTCTCACAAAAAGCAGAGGCAGCGAATGACTCAGTGGAAAAAGCTTTTTCCCAGGGCTTGGCAGGCACCAAAACATCCTCTCGGCACACTGCGCATCGCCTGCACTCCAGCCCCTGCGCTCAGCCTGCCGTGCTCCCAGGGGAGCGCACAGTCAAAACGGGCATGGGGAAGAGGAGAGGCGGCCAGCGCTGGCTGGAGCCAGCTGAGGGCAGAGACCTGGTGGGACTCGTGTCCCCTGCCTGGGCACACTCCCCACCCAGGCACCCAAAATCAGGGACTGGGACAGTGACTTCTCCCCCAGGTGCCAACCTGGAGAGCTTGATGCCATCCATGGGTGACAAGCACAAAATCCTGCAGTTGCCCCTTCCCCAAGAAGGCAAAAGGCAGCGGGAAGATGCCGCCACCCCTTTCACCACCGTCCCAGTAAAGATGATGTTTCCACCGAGGAGCTGCTGGTCCAGCCAGCCCGCCAGGGATGGAGATGCCAAAGAGATGGGCAGCTTTCCCGAATCACGGCTCGGGCTACTCCTTCCCCCCAGCTCCAGTCCTGGTATAAAACCCTGAGGAGCGTAACTGTCCTGATTCAGCCAAAAAGTAATTAGTTTAAATGAAAAAGTCATTTTCCCAGCCAGGTTGGCTGCCAAACAACCCCACGGAAAGGGTAACACTCAGAGAGGTGGCAGGGGCAGAAGGTGGTGATGCCACCAGGGCACGGCCGTGTCCGTAGGTGCCACCATTGCTCATCCATGCACACCATCCTGCCCCGGGAAACGGCCCCGGGAGGCACCTCCTCCCCGCCGGAGAGCCGCAGCCACCTCTCCTCCCGCTGCGCCGGGGTGGATCCAGCACCTTCCCTGGGGTCAGGCACGGGTTTGGCCCCTGCAGCCTCGGCAGCAGCCACGGGTGCCCCTGCCTCACGGGCTTCCCATCTGAGGCACCACCAGCGAGCCGGCGGCACTTCAACCCCCCAGCAAATGCTTTAAATTTGGGGGGGGATTTGAGCTGGCACCGAAAGAGCTGGCTTGCCATCATCTGTATTCCAGTCTCTCCTCCTTTTTTGTTCTCCTCTCCCCGCATTCGCCGCCCTGAACGAAGTCCTGCGACTCGCTCGGCATCTGCGGCCAAATATTCTCCTGACGTACAATCCCAGCTGCTGGCTCCATGCCGATCACGCGGACACGTGGTCTCCTGCCGAAACACGGCCAGGGTACCGATGAGAGGGCTTGGGACAAGCATGAAGGTCCAGTTGCCCCATGGTCCCGTCTGCCATTGGCCACAGCAGATGCCTGAAGAGGAGTCACAAGAGCAGGACCAGGGTGGAGGGACATGGTCCCCAAATCCTTTCTGGGCTCCAGCTTCCCAGACCTCCTGAGCCGGACACATCTTTGCGCTTCGTAACCTTCAAGTGGTTTTTCCTGCATGACTTGGTCACCTCCGCTTGGACCTCCGTGTCCACAGCGTCCTGCAGCAAGGGGTTTCGCTGGCTGGGGGCATGCACAAGCCCTGGGGCCACCCAGAATATCTGAGGTGAACATCTGGGAGCCCCAGAGCAATACACACAGATGTTCTCCTCCTGCTCCTCCTTCTCCTCCTCCTCCTCACCCCATGGCCCCCTCAGTCTCTACAGTAGATCCCCAAAGCACAGTGTAGAAGGGCTGGCTGGAAGCCCTGGGATCTTTTCATCCTCTCTTATCTGAAAGAGGAGGAGGGGAAGGCGTTATCTGTTTTGCAAACTAACTTCTGCCCTGGGAGGTTCCCTTCCCTCTGCAGAAGAGAAGCCCCACGAGAAGCAGTCGCTCGGGCCACACTAAGGCCCCATTTTAAGCATTTACAGGAAAAAAAAGAGAGGAAAAAAATAAGCCATGCCACTGTGCTTTAACCAAAACATTTTGGGGGCTTTTTTAAATATTAATAGTGTCGTCAAACTTCAGTGATCGCTTCTCCTTAAAGAAATCAGATTTATTTTCTCAGGGAATACCAGGCATATTTGAAACAGCCCCAGAAGTACCAGTATCCACCAGTGACTGGTGCAAAGTCCCTCTGGGTCCCCCTCGGGGATGTCCCTTCCCTTCTTTGGGACGATCCGTGATTTCTGTAATACCCCACAGAAGTCACCCATGACTCAGTTTACCCACTCGGGCTGCCCTGCTACAGCCTACTGCAATTGTAGAAGCAAATTCCCTTTCTGGAAGGGGAAAATGAGAGGAAAGACCATCAAGCAGGTAAATCTGGGTTCCTATGAAGCACATATCCGAGCTTACAGGCAGCGGAGACACAGCGGGAGAGCAGCAGTACCCGAGGGAGGGTGAAGAGCACGTGAAAATGGGTTGTCAGAAGATTGAAGCAAAGGAGAGGAGCGGGAGGACACAGAAAACGGTTGCCCAGAGCAGCAGAAAAGCTGAAACACAGCACACACAGAGCCAGAGAGGCCAGGAAAAGCCGGGATGTGCCGGGATGGATGCCCAACGCAGCTCCCCACGCCGTCAAAACCCACACCGGCCGCTTTCCTTCCTCCTGTCAACAGATACAGTCATTTCCAGAATTATTTTGCAAAGCAAAAATGTTTGCCTCTCAGTCTCGCCTAGGCAACACGGTGGATTCACCAGCCTGCACCTGGTCTTAATAACAGCCTCGTTACCTTCTGAATGCGCGTGCAATTAGTCATGTACACAGCACCGTGCTGCCGGTGCCCTCACCAGCAAATGCCTCTGCTGCGGGCGAGCAGGCTGGGGGAGGCAGAAAGGGGATGTTTGCACGTGAAAACTCCCTGCAACGATGTACCTTGGGTACCCGCTACCATCAGAGGAGCTTCAGCTCTCCTGCGAGGCAGGGAAAGGCTGAAAACTGCCTCCGAGCATCCCAGTGCGGGCAGCACAGCTGGGACTGAGCTCACCTTCTCCCAGATTTCTGGAGACCCGGCACAGGGGGATGCCCAGGCTGAGCTCTGGTTTCCAGGCTGGCACGCTGTGAGCGAGTCCCATAGTCCTGCCCGACGGAAGGAGCCAAGGGGACTGTACTGAGATATTTTGGGGGCCCGATACAGCGGGAAGAAGGGTTTCAGGACAACATAATTAAGTAATTTCCCTGCGAACCCTTCCTGATGCAAACTGTGCCTAATGATGCTTCAACGGGTAATGCTGCTCCGACAGCTGGTTTTCTCGCACTGGAGCTGTGAAATCCCATCCCAAGCAAGGCATGACAACGGCTAGTGGCCACCTCGGTGCGACAGCGGCTGCTTCTTCATTTCGTGCCCAGGCAATAGTCACCCACAACGCTCAGCTCCTCTCAGACCTCTGCTGTCCCCAGAAAAGCCCCCAAACCTTGGCACGGTTTGGTGCCGGTGTAGGCAGCGCCCTCCTTGCCAAAATCCCAAACGGCTGCGCCGACCGGTACGCCAGCAGCACCCAGGCAAGCTTCTCCGGTGGGTGATGATCAGCAGAGCTGTGCAAAGTCACTTGGGGTGTCCTGGGAGTCACAAATCGCAGGAAAACGCCGAGGCAAAGCCCGCAGCACCAGAGCTGGCTCCCCCAAACTGGCTCCACGTCTCAGCCCCTCCAGAAAGGTTGTAACCCCGTTTCCCAGCCAGCAAGAGAAGATGCTGCACAAAGAGGGCTGCCGTGCCCAGCTGTGTCAGAGACCACGACCTCTCAGCCACGCACCGGGACATGCAAGGGAGTTTTCCCGAGTCCTACAGGGAACAGGAATAAAAGCCCAAGGGAGAAACTGAGGCAGAAAGGGAGGATGAGCCAGAGTCCCAGAGCAAGGCCCCGAACACAAGTCCATCCCAGCGGCGCTTCTTGCATTCAGGCATTTTCAAGGGAAAGAGGTCTTTGGTGGGTTGAAATGTCCCATCATCCACCATCTCGCTGCGGTCTCTGCTTTGCTTTAATATGGTACAATGCCATTTGGCGATAGCTAAATGAATTTATCACGGCGGAGAGAGTGAAAGGCAGCTTTAATGGTCTGGGAAAGGGTTCAGACACCTGTTTTGTGGTTGGATAGCTCTAAAACAATTTGAATTTGAATGGTCAGCTTTGGCAGGTACCGGGTATGCAAGGAGCTGGGGCAGTCTAGCGGGGAGTAACCCAGCATCCCCAAAACCCCTTCTAAAGGCACGTGGTGAAAGCGAGAAGCATAGGGCGGCTGCCACCCAGGCCCCCGGCGTAGCACACGCACCCAGCCCTCGCCCAGCCGGCAGCACCACCAACTCCTTGGGGACCCCAGGGGGGCTGAATCATGCTTCTTAGCAAGATCAGGGCTGGCCAAGAAAGCGGGACTGATCCTGCTCCCTCACCTGACCCAGGCAGCCCCATCCTCCCATGTACCTGCCCCGGAGGGCATCGCTCGGCAAAGGGCAGCCCATACCTGTTCCGTGCCCCTGATGCTCAGATGTCCGTCAAAGAGCAGGTCCCACCCCGGGAAGATCTTCCCAAACCACAGTCCGTCTCATGGGGTGTATCAGGGCCAAGGGACGGGGAAAGTCCCTCCGTCACCAGCACTGCAGAGCTGCCATCACCAGCCAAGGAACAGCCCCGGCCCTTCTTTTGCTCCCTGGTGCAAGTAAATCCATCCAGGCTACTCCAGGCACTGGGGACAAGTGACACGGCAGATCCTGAGGACGGGGCAGGCGGGTGCCAGTAGGGCCGGACACGTGGCCACTCGCCCACCACCGAGCCAACGCGGCAGGGCGGGCAGGCAGCCGGTGCAGTGCACGGGGTTGGAGAAAAGCATTTGGTCACCCAGGCTGCCAGCGGCGAGGATGAGCCCATCCCGCCGCATCCAGCAGCATCTCTCCGGGGCTGGTTGAGCTGCAACTTGCAGCACCCCCATAACGACACCATTAGAGGGATCCGGGATTCGGGGCCAGACAGACAACATAACTGCAAAATGCCCCTCCGAAACAGAAACCGGGAAGCTCTGGGGACTGTAACACCATCACGCTTCTATTGGCACGTGAAACCTTTTGTTTAAGCCCAGGCGTTCACCAAGACCCCACACCAATTTCCAAGGACTGCTTTGAATCAGCCCAAAGCTACGTTCCCATTACGCTCCCACCTCAAACCATTGCTCAGCCCTGGGAGGGATGGAGACGAGCAGGCCAGGCACCGCCTGTAGCACCCAGGATGGATGGGGCTGGGGCGGTGAAGGAGAAGAGAAGGGAGGGAGCCAGGATTTGCTGCAGGACTGGGCAGAGAGTGGGACGGGCAATGCAGGTCCCAGCTGAAAAACGAGGCAGAAAAAAACCCAGCTCCCTTCGGTAGTCCCCAGAGAGAGACTGGCGTCTTCAGGGGGTACCTGTACGCCGTGCGGGGTCTCAAACGGGCTGCAGCATCCTCTCCCCCAGCTCCCAGGGAACCCGTGGCAATTAGCCCTTGTGGCAATTAGGTGGCTGGAGTTAGGTCAGGCTGATCCCATCACCCCAGGCCCAGCACGGGGCAGGCAGGGATTGTGCCGGGATCCCACCCTGACCGTGCAGGGAGAGTTTCACCCAGCGGGAGATCCGTCTCCAGAGAGCAACCAGAGGGATAACAGGGACACGACCCACTAAGCCACATCCAAGCATCGATAAATCTGGGGTCATAACTTTGAAGAAAGAAGCACCTCCCATGCAGAAGGACCTGCCCATGGGGATGCTCGTTGCTCCTTCTGCAGCCTTGGGTCACGCACCTCTGACTCGCGGATTTGGGAGCCCCATCCAGCTTCTTCAGCTGGATGCAGGGGGAAAGATCACTGCCTCCCTGCCCGGGATGAGTGATGGGTGAAAGGGAATCTGCAGAAGCCATAAAACCTCCTGGGGACCTCCCAGCGGTCCCTGTCCCAGGGACCCCCCGGGTGAAGCTGCCTTTGCTCCCTGCTCGGGGGCAGAGGGGAGGTTGCAGCCCTGCCTCCAGGCACCCCGTCAGGCAGCCGGCTGGCTCGCAAGGAGCTACGTGGTGCGAGGAGAGGAGCTGTGACACAGCCTGTCCCACCCGTGGGTGCCACTGCCGGATGGCCCAGGCCCCTTTAGAAGCCCAGTCCTGGCTGGGTGCTCAGCCGTGACAGCCTGCTCAGCCCGGCAGCCAGCAGGCAGGGGCCACCGGGCAGGCAGGAGCCACCGAGGGGGTGCGGGCACGTGCCAGGCCACGGGATGGGATCATCCCCTGCCCAACTGCCATTTCCCAGGGCATCCCGTGGGACGCAAGGGGACACCACTCCATCCGTACGAATGTGCCGGGGCATTGGCTTCCCCGGTGCCCTGCAGAGTCGGGACACTGACAGGTACCGTAACAGCATAATATATAACACCGTAATACCAGTGTAATCACATTAACAGGTCCGGCACATAAGACCCTCAAGGGAAAGAGGATTAGAAGACATCATTATTTACGGTCCATCACGCTGGCAGAGCTCCTCTGCTGCTCATGCATCACTAACAAGGGCACTCAGCACTTGCAAAGACCTTGCAGGCTCCGGGTTGGTCTGCAGGCACCGCGGCCCCAACTTCGGCTGTGGCACGCAGCCATCCCGCCAGAGCCGGAGAGGACGGGGCCATCCTGTTTTCTGCTTTCTACAGACCTCCTCCTTGGGCAAAGCCCCTCGCTGCTCTGTGCTGTTTCCCGTCTCCCCCGCCCGAGGGTCCAACCCAAGGCTGACCACCATCTGTTGGGATTTAGGACTGCGAAGAGGACTGTCAGCAGCCAGAACTAGGGAAGATGGCCTGAAGAAGCCGGGTGGATGGGAGTAATGATCCTCCCGCCCGGACCGGTGAGCGCGGTGCCCTCCCTGTGCTGCCTGTGAAGCACAGGGCTCGTCAGCACCATCCACTGCTCGTCTCATTTTGAAAACATCATCACCTGAAAAGCCACTCCAAAGCACTTCCCCTGCCCAGTCCAGAGCTGAGGCAGCCGCCGCAGATGTCAAGCACAAATTCACCACCTCCAGCTGCCTCTGCCATCCCCACCTGTGGCAAAGCAGCTGCTGGATTCCGGGAGAGAGCGGCGCCAGCGAAGAAACCAGCTCATGATGAAGGACCCAGCTTCATGATGAAGAAACCAGCTCATGATGAAGCTCAGGATGGGAGCAAGACTCCTCCACACAGTCCCATCCTGCCCTGCATCCCCCCCTCCTACCGAAGCCCCGCTCCCCGTACCGCCACACAGCCCTGATGATGTCTCCAAGGGTTCCCCCCGCATCCCCCCACGGCACCACCCAAACCTGCTACCCTGGCTGCTTCCCCCAGCAGAAACTGGAGGGACCTGGGGCCGCTCTGCCCCGACCAGCCGCCCTGTAGCTAAGGGGAGCTGCCGTCCCCCGGGAGGGCGCTGGGAAAGGCAAGAGCCTCTGCAGTGGTCCCGTACGTGTGCCAGCATCCCTCTGGGGTGGAGGCCGGTCCCTCCCGCAACTGTAGGGACACGGCCGCTGCCCAGTCACTGCTGCAGGACCAGAGGATGGGACCCACGTCCTCACAGAGGGGCTCACACCCGCAGAGACACCGAAACTGGAGATCTCAGTAAGCCAGGGATGCACGAGTAAAACCAAACACCTTTGCATGCTCCCAGTGTGCAGGCAGCCTCAGATACCAGCTGGCTGGCACCGAGCCGGCGCCCTCGGGCAGAGCCTGCCCTGGCACCAGGGGAGCAAAGGGAACAGCATTCGTTCTCCAACCCCCTCCAGATGAAGTCTTAAAATGTCATTACACTGTCCGCAAAGTATCTAAAACCACTTACCAGCAAGAAATCACAAGCCCTGAAGAGCAGCAGAGCCGAGTGCTCCGGAGAGGGCAGGGCCCTCGGGCTCCCAGCGGCAAAGGTGTTTCCGTAATTCTCCCTCGGCGGAAAGCAAAGGGCTCCAGCCTGGCAAACAAAAGCAAAACTCGCTCCTCCACACCCAGTGGTGACGTGCGGAGGGAGGCAGCACCATTGCTGACAGGGGTCTGGAGGAGCTGCAGGGACGGAACACGTAAAAAGTATTTCCTCTAAACCCGAGAGAAAAAAGACAGGCTCTGATGGCTGCTACCAGACAACTGCACCACGGGTGCCTCTGCAGGAGGCAGAGCCCAGCCTTGCTGCATGCCCTGTGATTGCTGCATACCCCGTGCCTGCTGCATGCCCCGCGGATTGCTGCATGCCCTGCGCTCACTGCATGCCCTGTACTCGCTGTATGCCCTGTGCTCGCTGCATGCCCCACAATTGCTGCATGCCCTGTGCTCGCTGCAAGCCCTGTGCTTGCTGCACGTCCTGTGCCCGCTGCACGTCCTGCACCCACTGCACGTCCTGCGCCCACGGCATGCCCTGCTCGCAAATCCGTGTGCGGTTTCCGGAGTGGAGGCAGCTCTGGGCTTGTTGCTCAGAAGAAAGGGCAAGTGAGGGGCAGGGCAAGACGAGAGTGTAGCGGTGTCCTCCGTTAAGGACGCGCAGCGATGGCCAAGCCGCACAGACTGACCCCATTCCAGTCTCCGCTGGCAAGCGCATATTTGGCTTAGATATGCTGAGAAGATTGCACGTTTTCGCTTGACTACAGGCTTCCTCTGGGGCTCAATTTAGGGAAATCTGTGATTTAGGGCAGAAAACATCGTGACGTCGCTGTGAATCCTGGAGATCGCATCAAACCCTGTACACAACTGCCCTACAAAGCAGACCCAAGGAAAAGGTTTACGCGCCAGCTCTGCGCCCGCTGCGTTCACACGCTGCCAGGTGCCGGGGCAGCCACTTCCCTTCGCCAGGCCAGAGCAGAAAATGACGTTGCCCGTTGGCCGCGGGCAAGCGGGATGCTGGGTCCTGCAGGCAGCAGCACCGCCGCGGGCAGCCCGGCGCAGGCAGCGCCCGCGGGAGGCTCCGTCCAAGAGAGGCAAATGCCAAACATGAATCTCTTACCTCCCCGTGGCAGCGACGCTCATGTCGGACACGTGGTCCGGGTGGGACAAACAAGCAAACCAGGAGATGCAGGGAGGGAGGACAAGGCACTCTCAGGATTTTGGGCAGATTTTAACTTCCAGCCACTGCATTAAAACTTTCCCACCCCAATACGACAGCAGCCGTACAGGAGCTGGGCATGCTCTCACGATGAGGGGGGATATATCTGTTTCAACAACCAGATTTGGAGGTAAAAGTTGACTTAATTAAAGCCAGACCCTAGGAAATGTAAAGGAGCAGGGCAGCCCCGTGAGGAAGGCGGCTGGGCTGTAAAGGGCGTCCAGCCAGCAGGGCTCCCTCGCAGGTGCAGAGGGAACCTCCTGCATTTTAAGAATACTTAATGTATACCGGCTGTTTAACTTATTAAAGGCTTTTCTAAGCTATTGAAAACAAAAATGCTGGCTTTCTGAATTTTAATTGAATTCCCATTTCCAGCCAACACCATGTATCACAAGTAAGAGGGGAAAAAAAAATCATCACTTAGGTAATGAGAAATATCTTTAACCAATTTCTAACATAACCGCATGCCAAAATTACAAGTGTGCCAGCAAGGCCCCACCAGCAGCCCCAAGGGACGACAAGCGCGCAGGCCCATCCATCCCGCGCACCCTCTCATCCCCACAGCAGCCAGAGCTTCAGAGCCCTTCCCCTGATAGCATAAATAAATATTAATTAATAGGTAGTTATGTGCGATACTCTGCCCTGGCACGCCGACACCAAGCCACAGAGCACCGCTGACGTCCCCACGGGCTGGAGCCCACCTTCACCCTGCCCGGAGGTGACTCTCATCACTACAATCCAAGCTTTTCCGAAAGAATTTTATTTTACCGGCCTGCTTTGCAGCAGAGAGGTGCTGCCACTTGACGTGCGAAGCTTCACCCTGAGATGGAGCTGTATGCCAGCGATACAAAAAAACGCGGCGGTTTATGAGAATCATGTCTGATAAATTCTCGACCCCCTCCCAACAGCTTTAGACACCACTGGAGGGAATATAAAACTCTGTTTAAATGGTTGCACAGCCCTGGATTTGCTGTTTAACAGCAAAACTTGCGTTTCCAGCTCGTCTCATTTTTAAAATCAGCCTCACGACGGCTGATGTTTCTTCCTGAATCCTCAGCTTCTGGAATCCTGTGATGACGAAAAATCCGGGGCTGGGGGGAAGGCGACTATTTTAGACGCGAGCTTTTTCCTGTTGGCTACAGGCAGAAAATCTGACAGCTCCCAAACCCAAAGCCTCGGCAAAAGCAGCAGGCAACTGAAAAGTGGAGCCCTTCTTGCTGAATACCATGTTTGTTTGTTTTTCTGGTGTTTTAACAACACTGTTACGATCTCCAAGCTCACCTGAGTTCCCAGGAATTACTTTTTCCCCTGCCCCTGTGATCCAAACAAGTAACCTCACAAAGCCAGCTGCCAGGAAACCGAGCCAAAGCAGCAGAAAGTGATGACTCAGGTCCCTCAACAGATATTTTAGAGGTTTAAAAGACAAACTGTAAGATTTTTTGGGGGAAAAAGCATTCAATTCCTTTTTTTCACGCCGTTTTGCGGTTTTGCATCCTGCCAGGAGCAGTTTCTAACACCTGGCTACTCCACCGTGCCAGAAAACTTACCTTTTTTTCTCCTTTCCCCCCACCCTGCCTCTGAACGCAAGCCAAGGCTCTCACATAAAGAGCTCCTTATGAGAGCTGGCAACCCCGACCCAGGACAGGAGACTGCAAGCGTCGCTTTTTCATCAATTAACCGGGTATTACGTTCTCGGCACGCCGACGGCTCCCGGGGAACAAGCCCTGATTTACGGTGGCGCGAGCGACTCCGGCCAGCTTTCCCCGGGCAGAGGTTTCCACTGAAGTCAGTGGGAAACTCTTTCCACTGGGTGTAACGGGAGCAAGAGAAGGATTTATTCCTCCCAGACTCTTCACATGCCACACTGAGACTGCTAAAAGGCGAACAAAGCCGACGCAATTCCAGTATACAACTGGGCAGACTGGTAAATCACAGGGTAGCTAGCGGCCACTCCAGCACCGCCTAACCCCACTGTTTTGGGGTGAGGGAGGAGGATCGCTGGAAGACTGAGCGGAGATGAGGACTGCGGGGGGATGCAGGGCAGAGACATCTCCCCAGGGCAAAGAGCATCTTCACCCGCAGCTGAGCTCCAGCAGCTGAACCCTAAGAGGCTTTTTCCGCACTGGAAACCCCGGTGCACGGGCCCCGTGCCCCTCGCCTCCAGCACAGACTGGCCAGGCACCGGGGTCCCCTGACTCCCCGCAAGCGATGGCTTTACAAACTGCACCGGCTTGCCAGCAACAGGCACAGGGTCCCTTGCTGTCCACCAGCGCAGACCCCAGGAGCAAGGATGTCCCCAGGGCGAGACGTGCTGATGCGGCTCTAAATGATCTCATTTCTCTTTAGACCGAGCTCAGAGAGGCAGCGGGGAGGGAGAAGCGTCACAGCCGGCGTCTCAAATACGAGCAGTCGTACGACCCTGCCCACCCTCACATTGCTACAGCGCGATGTCTGCAACCCGTTCAAGAGATGCAAACTGCGAACCCCAACCAAGCAGGTCCTGGGAACAGCGTGGCACACGCCGACAGTGCTGGCGGAGGCAGGCTGCCAGCAAACCCCATCCCCGGGGTGGTGAGGGATGCCGGGCTCTCGGAGAGCAGCTCCAGGACTGCTTGTCTGCCCAGGGCAAGTGCTAGGGGCTGCCTGCACCGCAGGTAGGTGCACTTCTGGGGGCAGCTGGAAGCCTCACCGGATGCCTTCCCTCCACGTTATCCCAGCTGGGACGCTCCAGAGGCAACAGCAGAGAAACTAAAACGCACATCACCAGAAAATATACGTCCCAGGCTCACACACAGCTGTAACCAAAGCAAATGCAGCATTTCCCGGAGGCTACTCCAGGAAAACATCCTCCCCCGACTCAGTTCTTCAAAACAGATCCTTTCCACATGCCCTGAGCTTTTGTTCCCAGCCTTCCTCCTCCCATTGCTCTGTTCCCTGTCCCCTAAACAGCTTCAATGGGATCTGATTTCTGGCCCATAATAAAACATTTTCTGACCCCAGAAAAGCAGAGTGGTATCACACACCGGCATGAAAGCCCCTGATACCTGGGCTGGCAGGAGGAGGCTGATGCCGGAGATGAGGGGAGCGATATCAGAACTGAGCACCCCTGGGTTGTGCTCGCACCGGCCTGATTCTGACTCCAGCTTCTCCAGCAAGCTTCAAGTGCATCTCCAGGAGGCTTCAAATCTGGGGCTCAAGGTTCACGGGGATCCTCCCAATTCGTTCCCGCGAAGCAGCTCAGGCTCTTGGGGAGTCAGCAGCGAGGACCCAGCCCTTCAGAGATGTTTCCGCCACCGAAGCTCGGCTCTCGACTCACTTCTGTCTCCTGTTCCACCCTCCTTGTGGTGACCAGCTCCGAAGGGTGTGTTTGCTCACCAAGTCCTCCAGCCCCGCAGCCCCGCTGGCTTTAATCCAGCCACCCGCCTAAATTAGGGTTACTCACCCAGAGACTTAGTGCATCAGGTCCTCAGGCTGGCGGAGCTGATGGGAAAACACCTCCCTGCCTGCCATCCTCCGAGCACCCTCACGCTGCCGAGCGAAACGCTCCGCTCGCTGCTATCTTGGAGGACGAGGCGTCTTGCTGGGCGCAGAGGAGGAGAGAGGGGCAGCCTATCCGCAAGCGTAAACCCCCTCGGTCCCCCCCCTAAACGCGCTGCACGAAGGATTATCATCACCAGCCGGAGCAGCATCGGGCTGCAAACAGCTCCCGAAGAAGCGCTTCTGCACTTCCCCAGCCTTCAGCTCGCCAGATCCCCCCCCATGACTCGATGCTGGAGGAGAAGGAGAGGCGCTCGTGGCAGCTGCC